TACCCGGGCTGATGCTGCGCCATATTTCATCTGCTGCTATAAAAGGACTCCTCAGAGGAAAACAGGATGAGGAACTGGGGGAAGGGGAAGTTCGACTTCATTTCAATCGAAGGAAGAGGACAGATTTGAGGGAGACCTAAGCAAGAGTTCTTGTGATTAAGATAAGAGTTATAATCAAACAAAGCTGCAACATGAGGGTGTCATTATGTTGCTCATGCTGTTTAGACTCTACAGAGACGATAACAGGGAGGTTTTGTGGTAAATCTGATACAAAAGTAATCCATGGCCCCTATTTAAGGGATGATGCAGGCGGAGTACATAACAATCATAAAGCTCTACCAACATGCCTCTCTGGTTCGCACGTTACCAATCAGATCCTAACGTGAGCCAGCTGGGATGATGGTGAACTCAACAATCGTACGGTTGTAAAACAAACACACAATAGAAAAGAGAAGGGTTTGTGTGAGTGTAAGGATCCATTGTGTTTCTTTCACATGTAGCTCTGTCCCATGCCTTAACACTGAGAGTTTTGTATCCGTTTATAATCAGAGCGTAGCTCCAAAGAAGGAAAACAGGACTCTGACCTTTGCCTGAGTGAAGCTTGTTGTCTCGTCACAGTTACTACAATGACCTCATGCTCTGCTTTAAGCCTGATCCAACCCATAGTCTTCAGTAACTGGATTATAGTAGTAGCAGAATCATGATCCTACTCAGCCATCACAACGCTTCATACATGCGGACCTTAGCTGAACGCTCATGAGGTGAAGCATAGTCATAAATAACCCAAGGAACAATGGGTCATTCAAACATCCTTCCACTCATTCTTTAGAGCAAACCTGACCCCTGCTTGAACTGTGGATGTACTGATGGCATTTTGTTTATCAAGCCCACAGCTGATGCCTACAAAACCATTCAGGACTACCAGTGGACCATTTCACCTAAACTGGTTCAGTCATCATTACGGAGCAACAGTCATTTGTGTGAAGGGTCTTGTAGACAAACGTGTGTGTAAAACTGGTAACATACATAGAAAGCTGCTTGTGGGTTGCTTTACAAACATCTTCACCAAGATCAGGTCAGCAGACCTGGCAGCCATTGCAGTAGGTCTCCCCATTAACATGTACCTGTCTCTGTCTCTGGAAGCTGCTAGTGAGTGGGCCTGGCAGACTCCCAGACCACCGTAAGCCCTGCGCATAGCGGCTGGGATTCATCCTCTTACGGTCAGAGGGTAGGGGATTTGGGCCTTTATTTAGTGCCATTTAGAAAAGATTACCCCTTAACTGCATCACCGCTATTTGGTAAAAAAGCTATGAGCAAAAACCAGGTCTAAAAAGCTCCAACAATACCGATGACTTAGCATACATTAGACTAAATAACACAAGTGGTAATAGATCAAAAACCACAAGAACAAGATGGTGATTGAATCAGGAGCTCTGAAAGCTGCTGGGATGTTCAGGGTATCTAGCTAAGAAGGAAAAGAGAAACAGCTAGTGATTAGATCTAGGTTGGTGGAGCACATCCATTGAACGAAAATGACTTTTTGACTCCTTGTATAAAAGACCAGATGGGCTTTGTGTCCTTCTTGTATTTTCTACTGACGTCCAATCATCATCCAGCCCATAAAACATCAGAGACGAGGAGTCTGACCAGATCACTTTGTTTAGGAGAACTAGGATTTGTGCTTTAGTTGTTTTCCTTTTCAAGAGACAAAAGTAACCAGCCCTTTCAAAAGCATCAACAATGGAAAGTCACTCTCAAGCTTTCCTTTGTCATACGCTGTGTTCTGCAGCCATTTGCCCATCTTTATGTCTGTGACAGCTCCAAACCAGTTAACCAGAGGGTCTGAATACACAAAGGACCATCACAGAAGCTCCAGGTTTGTGTGAGCTCACATTGATAGTTTGATTGTGTGACTGAATTGAACAGCTGCTGCTTTGCTGATTGGAGATCTGTTAAGGCAGGAAGAGAATCAGAGTGGGGATGGAGTCTGAAATACGTGCAGCAGGCCTGCAGCACAACAATAACCAGATGAACTCAAAGTTCTCAAACATTCTCAGGAACAAAATGTAAAGATGATTAAATTAGCCCGGTTTCATCTTTGTGTTCACGGCGCTCATCACGAGTTTCATATAAACCAAATAAGACTGAAACATCGAGCACAGCGCTGAGTCTAACTGCGCTGGGGGTGTGTGACAGGATGGCTCCTGTGATTGGCTAAAATAAATGTATGGCCAACACCGACACCCACTCTTCCACTGCTGGGGCGTTGTACTTTTTCATGAGCTGCATCGCCTCATGATCAAAATTCTGCAGTTGAAATCCACACGGCTGCTCGGTCAGATCCAAACCAGCATCCTCCAGGATGATTATCACACTGAGGGCAGGATGCCCGATCACACACTATTGGTTATCAGGTTCACAGTCCATTTCTACTGACAGCAGCACATGGGCCCAAAACCAAGTGGCTGGCTTTCAGTATAATGTAGCAGATGGATCAGAATACTGCAGCAGATCCGGACTACAAGGCAATATCAGCTGGCACCACATGCAAGCAAACTGATGCTTTCAAGGAACTAATGTTAGAAGAAACAAATAGATTGGTAAAAATTATGTGCATTGTTACAAATGACTAATGCCTGAAATCAAGAGAAGAGGGGAAAACTAGCTAAATATGTTAAATCTGTTTAAATGATGCAGATGTCAACAATACTACGTGAATACATTTTGCTTGCAGCCAAAAGTCTCATATTTGATAGGTTAAGCCCTAATTTATTCTTCAGCCTTTATCTGAAACCGTACTCCCACTGCAGCACCTGCTGAGGAGGCAGAACGGCAGCTCAAATGAAGGCACAGAGCAGGGCTGGTTGCTAAGCAACAGCAACACAAGGCATTCCTCCATCTTCCTGCCTCTACGACAGCACGGGTGGCAATGGTTTACAAGTCCAAGAGTCCTGTGACAGTCCATGTGTGTGTGTGTGTGTGTGTGTGTGTGTGTGTGTGTGTGTGTGTGTGTGTGTGTGTGTGTGTGTGTGTGTGTGTGTGTGTGTGTGTGTGTGTGTGTGTGTGTGTGTGTGTGTGTGTGTGTGTGTGTGTGTGTCCTTACACATTCACAAATCTGAATGCTTGATCTTTGTGTTGTGTGTGCGTGTGTGTGTGTGTGTGTGTGTGTGTGTGTTGTGTGTGTGTGTGTGTGTGTGTGTGTGTGTGTGTGTGTGTGTGTGTGTGTGTGTGTGTGTGTGTGTGTGTGTGTGTGTGTGTGTGTGTGTGTGTGTGTGTGTGTGTGTGTGTGTGTGTGTGTGTGTGTGTGTGTGTGTGTGTGTGTGTGTGTGTGTATACCAGTAAGAGGTGTAGGGTCAGTGGACTGGATCCTGTGTTTGTCATGTTTGTAAATCTCCCAAGACAAAAGAGTCTTGGGGGCGTGACTGTCATCAGTATAAACAGTAGATGTGTACACCCTGACCTGGTGTGTTTCAGTCACCTAGCTACTCTATTACCTTTCATATGAGTACTTTAGTTCTTCCCTTTGGTGTTCTCATACACAGACAGTAAAATGGAAATGAGGAAGGCAGGCTGTATTTGTAATTCTCCTGTGATTACATCTTTTCTATTGTGGAAGTCTGGGATAAGGGAACACTTCCAGAGGTTAGCCCCAGATGTGTAACTAATACTGTAGCTAGAAATAAATCTCTGTTGCAGCTTTCAGCATGCACCTGACTTTATTACCCTGTTCTGGTGAGAGAAAGGGGAAAAGAAAAAATCTTTAAACAAAAAACGCCTTTTGGACTATTTACTGGTATTTTTTATAAAATCTAAACTCAGATCTGGAACACCCTTATTTTCTTTGAACTTGCTGTTTCTTTGGAGCCATCTCAGACCACTTCAGGATAGTTTTTCTCTTCCGGGTGTTTTGCTGTGAGTCCTCAGTCACCTAGTAAACTCCCATGCCAAAAAGCGCATGGGAAAAATCAAGCTGCATCCCCAAGAGGGAGGACCACCGGAAGACAAGAGACAAGCGCAGAAACAGAGGGCTGGAAAATGTTTCCAAGTCTCTGAAAAACCCAGGAGGCTATGAGCAGATTTCTGGCAACGAACGATGCAGAGAACAATGAAGTAAGCTGTCTCATCAGCTTTAGGGAAGAGACACAGAGGGAAGCAGATACCCCAGAGGAGGATGTGAGCAACCACGAACAAGCCAGTGCTGGAATCTGCCTTTTCATCCTTTTGAACGTGGCTAGAAAAAAGAAATGGATGAGAGCACCATATAAAGGAAGGTCTAACATTATTTAAGAGTTAACGTCCCTCTATCTAAATCCCAATACAGTGACAAATTGCTGCTCCGAGAAAATTAGACAGCAAGGAGAATAAGTTGGACCATTGTGGAGAAAAACAGGCACATCCTTTATCTGCCTCTGAGGCCCACGTCAACCACCACGCTCAACATTCTTTCCATTCCCAGAGGTTTGTAACTCATCTGCAGTTTGCTCTCTTCTGAGCGGGAAGGTTCAAAATTCAAACATACTCCCCGCCCTCCTCAACCGAAGTAGAAAATCTTGTTTTCAGGCTCTGAGTGAGCTAAACGGAGGCCAATCTACTGTCCACAACATGCAAGTACATGCAACGAAGACACAAATAAACTTAAACAACTCTGTTACTGACATTAAAGAACAATTTGCACAAACATGTCCTCAAAATAAAGCAAACTGCCTTTAGATTTGATCACCAGTGCAGTTTTCAAATTATTGAAGAGGGGCCGCATAAATAAATAAAAGTGGCAGTGTAATGCAGGGACTCCCTGCGCACAGAGGAGGTGGGGGTGTTAGATGCACACATCACAAGCTCCCCTTCCTCCTCTTGTATTTTTGACCTTGTGGGAAGATGACTGACTGCTCAAGAGAGGCAGCGACCCAAGCATCTGAATAAAACAGTCTCATCAGACTGCTGGAGTGGGTTAAGCAGACCGTTTGTTTAGAATAAGCAAATCCAACGTGAGGTTAACCTACCTCTTTCAGCTGATCCATCTCCTGTCTCACGGAGTCATACTCCACCTCCAGGTCATCGTACTGCTGTTTGAGTTGCTGCTTCTCCTCCAGCACCGCCAGCCCGTACTCCGCTGCCTGGATCTTCTCGCTGGTGGTCTCAGCCAGCTCCCTGCAGAGACGCTCGATCTCAGCCCGCAGCCACTCCGGCCTGGCCTCCAGCAGCATCGCGGTGGGGTAGCCCTGCTCCTCCACGGACATGACCGCTCTCTACCAACGTGCGCCAGCTGATCTGCGTCAAGAAGGTGTGGGGTGCGTCTTCAAGCGTTGTAACCTTGAAGAAGAGGCGGCGGCTCAAATTCGTCTATATTTGAATTGCATGGTTAGTTTTGCGCTGCTCGTAGCCGGTCTCGTTTCTTTGGTCATATAGGTGACTTGGTTTCATGTTCTTCTCCTTCTAGCTCCTATAAGCGCTCCATCGTTGCGCTCCGCCGTTTCCTTCTGTTCTCCACCGGCTTGTTGGAGTCAGAGTACCAGCTGTCAAAACAAATAAAGGAGCGTACTACTTCTGGTTTGATCCTTTCCAAATAAAAGCCGATTGACCAAAATAGGCATCTAGTATTGGGTGCCATTTGTAAAGTCAGTCACAATTTAAAAGCAGTAATTTGGGTTATTTAGCGCATCATAAGAGAAAAAAAATCGGATTTTGTTTTTCAAAATCAAATTTTCACTGTATTATTCCTACATTTATAAATGTTGAGGTTCCATACTAAATATTTTGTTAGCAATCAAAATATTTTATTTACTTACTAAATATTTATTTTAGAGCTAAATATATAGCATCCAAACGTTTGCTCCTAATTAAGCATTTAATTTCCAAAATAAATATTTAGATCCCAGCTAAATATTTATTTTGCAGCCATTGGTGTAGGGGGAAGAGGAGAGATGAGCGAACACAACCCTGAGGGGAACTGGTGCTGATGGTCTGCAGAGCCACGTTGATGGCATCATATAAAGATCTGTTGGCTTTGTAGGCAAACTGCAGGGGGTCCAGGAGGGGGCTATGAGGGTCTTGAGGTGGGGGAGAACCAGGAGATCAAATAACTTCATTTGAGATATTATGGAAAATAAATTGTATCTTAAAAATAAATTTAAATAAAATATAAAAAATATTAAAAAGTAAAAATTGTGTTAGTAAATAAATATTTATTTTACAAACTAAATATTTTTGCCCAACCTAAATATTTAGTTTCTTAAATAAATATTTACCTCTAAATTAAATATTTATTTAGCAAACTAAATATTTAGGCTTGACCTAAACATTTAGTTTATAAAATATTTTCCACTCTAAATGAAATATTTAGCTTGCTAAAAAAATTGGTAGAATATAATTAATACATTTATGAGTAACATGGTAAAATATGATTTTAAAAGAAAAAACTCCCATTTTTTTCTCTTTTGAATAGCTAAAGAACCCAAAATACTGCTGTTAATATGTGACTCACTTTATAAACAGTATCCCATGATCTTAAGTGTACATAAAATAAAAATGTGTTTGCATACAACAGGAACAAAGTCAAGTAAACTATATAATTAAAAATAGAATTAGGAAATTTCCAAATCAGTGGCTTTCATTCCAAACATAGTAACAAATTTGCTTTTATTTTGAAAGCAATTGTTCTTTATCCGGTAATTCAGCCATTCAGCTTGTTTGAGTGAGCTGAACAGCCCATTGGCCGAAATAGTCGTCCATGCAATCAGCTGGAAATCACCCTGCCTCCTTCAGGGCTTTTAGGGAAATGTAGTCCTGAAGCTTCTCACATTTGTGAAAAGGTGCCGCCCAGAGCTGTGAAAAAAACTCACAATCCCACAAGGCCACGTTGACTGCTTATGTGGAGTACGGAAATCTTTGCACCAGGCTTGTTTGTTGTCAGAGGAAACAGAACTCTGCTGCAGTAGCCAAATGGATATTTGCTGCCATCTATTAGTCCAACTTCGTATTTTCAGGTAGTTTTAACAGAGAAATCAAAGTATTTACACTCATATTGTTGTACATATTACTAGTTTTTAAACCAACTTCTGCAATGTCACAAGATTTGTTAGTGTTGCAATAATGTTTCACCAAGATCCTGCATTGATGATGGTAGAGGTCTGACCGTTGCACAAAGACTTCTCCAGCACATCCCAAAGATTCTCTATGTACTCTGTGGTGGCCAATCCATATGTGAAGATGATGTCTCATGCTCCCAGAAATACTCTTTCAGTATTTGAGTCAGATGAATCCTGTCATTGTCATCTTGGAATATCAGGGAAGATGGAATAACCTGGTTATTAAAGATTTTCAGGTAGTCAGCTGACCTCATTCTTGGAGCACATTCTGTTGCTGAACCTAGACCTGACCAACTGCAGCAAGCCCAGATCATAGCACTGCCCCTACAGGCTTGCACAGTAGGCACTAGGCATGATGGGGTGCATCACTTCTGCCTCTCTTCTTACTCGACGCACCATCCCTCTGGAACAGGATCCATCTGGACTCATCAGACCAGTTATTAATAATGTGTTCACAACCTTTTCTGCAATCTCCTTAGATGTTTTCTCTGCTTGATTCATGCCAATGATCTGACCCTTCTCACACAGACTAACATCTTTTCTACGACCACCAGATTTGTCTTTCCACGTGGTTGTTTAAGAAATCCAACACTTCTACCTCACATTTAGAAAACACTAACATTTCAGGAAAAACTTTTTCTTTCCTCTGCTGCCTGTGGATAAACGGAAGTGACGCCACCAACACAAACTCTGGTGATGATTAGAGGCGTTAGTCGAAACATGTCAGGTAAAGAACTATTTCTTTAAACTAAAATGTGTAAAAAAGGACAAAGTAATGGATTTCAGGAAAAAGATCAAATTTCACTTAGTTTGATTTGTCTTTTAAAATTGTATTGTCTTAGAATTTAAAATTTGTCAAATTTGCCTGTTACTATTAATAAATTTATTGGCTCTGATTGTGTCACAATAATTCTATTTTATCCAGGTCAATATACATACACACACACACACACACACACACACACACATATATATATGTATGTATATATATATATATATATATATATATATATATATATATATATATATATATATATATATATATATATATATGTGTGTGTGTGTGTGTGTGTGTGTGTGTGTGTGTGTGTGTGTGTGTGTGTGTGTGTGTGTGTATATACATTCATACACACACACACACACATATATATACATAAACTGACCTGGATAAAATAGAATTATTGTGACACAATCAGAGACTAAATGCCAACATAAATTAGTCTAATAGTCTAATAATATTTACTGCAACCTGGATGGCAGGCAGTCTTTTAGCTTTGCGTAGAGTCCTCTCTAAGTGCTTTATGTGATAACCTGATCGCTCCCTGGTCACCTGGTATTATGCAGGTTTAGGCAGGTGAAAGATAAGCTAATGAGATTTCATCTACTTGCTATGTCACTATGATGGTCTGTGGCGGCATGACATGAGAGCTCCAGAGTTCTGATGTAAAAGTCTACATATTCGTGTTTATTCACAACAAAATATCTGCACATAGTCAAATGTTGGCCCACATATGGAACCTGATGTAATAAACAGTTTTTCTTTGTAACAAAACAAGTACAGTGTCCTTACTCACACAGACATAAAATGAATGTATATTTGGCTATAGCACATGAGGACTAGGTAACAGGAGTAGCATTCTAATCTGGCAGGAATGAGGAATAGAAGGAAACACTCCTCAGAAATGCAAGAAAACAAAAGGAACTTGTGCATGGCGCTCGTCCTAAAGAACACAATCTCTGCTCAGTTTCAAGTCGCTGCTTCTTATCTGATCAGGTATTCGATCCATCATGGCCTCCAGCACAGAACCCAGCTTGTCCATGTGCTGCCCCGCCTCAACACACAGAGATAATCTGACACCAATGAGGCCACAGGATTGACTCGTCACAAAGCCACAGAGGGTCAGAGCCAACGTCAGAGCTCTGGAGATCGGGATCAGAAATGCCGGCAACTGCAGTAAATGATTAAGCTCTGAGGTGAAAGACACAAGCATCTCATCTCAGACTTTAAAAGTAAGTCTATGTTTCTTCATTGCTTTAATTAGTTGTGCTTAGATTTATACTTAAACTTGCTGTTTTTGTATCAAAACCTTTTATTTAGAGTGACGATAGTGTTTGTAGGCTACTGCAGTGAGATTCTAAAGAAGCACCAGTCATGGCTAACAGCCGGTTCATCATTGCTTCATGCTTGAGTTACTATGGTGTCTTGTTGGTTCCTGTTTTGTGTTTATATTACGTTTAACACTTAGCTGATGCAGCTAAAACATGTTTGCAGTGAACATGAAACATTTTCTTTTGGCTCTGCTATGAACGTCAGCCTGAGTGAAACTTCACATGACGTTCCGTGTGAGGATGGGAGGGGGAGCTTTGATGGATTACAGTAAGAGAAAACTGTTTTATATTTGGTAGCTTTGGTAGCGTGTTATAACCGCTTCAGTTGCACCAACACATCCACATCTATGAGTTGCTATTTTTACCGTAATGCCCTGATGAGGGACGTTCCGTGCCAAGCAAGGATTAGACAAGTGAGCCCTCACCGCTGATCTGAACCATTCAGGTGTTACAACACAACCTGCACTTGATACAGAGAAATGATCTGAAACTCCTCAAAGCAATTCAGCTGTCCTGTAGTTTGTTTTTAAGTGTAAATAAAAATGAAGTTTTATTTGTAGTGTGACGTTCGATTTGATCAGTTTGATTTTATTTCTCGTTTTGCTTTCTGATAATGCAGTCAAAGCCCCCAGAGCCAAATACACAATAGTGGAAGAAGCCATACACTTCGTCATCCCCACACACGTGCAGTGCTCAATGGGCTGTGGGGGCGAAGCCTGCAAGTACGACAGTCCGAGTTACTGGGGTGAAGACCAACAGGCCATAAAAGGTCTCTACTCATCCTGGTACACCTTCCCGTTGTAGCATGTCCAGTTTTTACAAACACTATGACTGAAAGACAGATGGCTAACACTCTTCTGCTGTCTCAGGGTAACCGACCAGCTTCTCGCCATGTCCAGACCTTCAACAGAAATTATTGACAAATATAACATTATTGATCAATTCAGAAGGTATTTATACATTTGTTTTAAGATCGTCAGCTTTTAGATTATTTTTTTAAAACAAAGATGGAATAAGTGAAATTAACGGCATGTTCTGTACTCCCACTTGTTTGAATGAAGGAACGGTATCAAAACCGTGATCAACCTGCAGTTGCCAGGAGAACATGCAAACTGTGGGAAGCCTCTGGAGCCAGACAGCGGGTTTTCATACCGTCCAGAAGTCTTCATGGAAAATGACAGTACGTTTCAATGATCTCCTAAAACTAAGTTTATCGTTTTGGCATTGTATAACATTACAATCTCGTATGATGTGTTGACACTTGGCATATATGTTGTGAAAGACTCTCATTTTAGTTCAATCTCTGTATAAAGAGTTTAAGTCCCATTACTCATCATCACATTCTGGTGAAGTTACTTCTCCCCCTTTGACCCATCCCCATGGGTAGCAGTGTGCTGCAGGAGTGGCTGTGTTTGGGAACTATTTGCTTTAACCCCCCAATCCAATCTCTTAAAGCTAAGTGTCAAGCAGGGAGGCATTGGGCCCCATTTTTAAGGTCTTTAGTATGACCCGACCATGTATATGAACCCTGATCTCCCAGTCCCAGGGTGGACACTCTACCACTAGGCCACCGAGAAGGTAACTGACTGAGTTATGTGCTTTTTTTTTTTTTTTTTTTTGGCTGTAAATCAGCTCTACCGACTATTTTGAATGAGAATGTCTTCAAAAGTTAATCAGTAGTAGATGCTCATCCAGTAAATCCTTTGAGTTTCATAAAAATTCCTCCAGCGGTTCAGGGGCTGAGACATGCACAGACACATGCAAAACCATTACAGTCCACATTTGAGAGGAGGGTGAGAACATTTCAGATTTTTACAGCTGAACCAGAATAATTTCACTTGTTTGATGGGAGTAAGCAATAATCTGTTACATTTTCAGTTTATTTTTACAATTTTGGCTGGAGTGACTACGGAGTGGCTAATCTCACCAGGGTGTTGGACATGGTGAAGGTGACAGCCTTCGCCCTGCAGGAGGGAAAGGTAGCTGTCCACTGTCACGCCGGCCTCGGCCGAACAGGTAGGCTTTGGAATCACGCATAACCCCACTGAGGACATCGTGAGAACAGAGTTGAATCCATTTTCTTCTCTTACACCAGGTGTACTGTTAGCGTGTTTCTTGGCTTACGCCACCAGAATGACTGCTAACCAGGCCATTCTATATGTCCGTGCCAAACGGCCCAACTCTATCCAAACCCGAGGCCAGCTGCGCTGCGTCAGACAGTTTGTTCAGTTCCTTACGCCTCTGAGAAGTGTTTTCTCCTGTGCTCGGCCTCGCTCCAACCCAGTCACCCTATCCCAATACCTTAACCGTCAGCGGCACATCCTGCATGGCAATGAGAGAAAGGAGCTGAAGCACCTCCCTAAGATCATCCACCTAGTGTGCAGGTTGTTGGTGGACATTGCTGAGAATCGGGAGGTGATCGAGGAAGATATCCTTGAAGCTCCGGATCTTCAAGACATAGAATGGACTCTCAGCGTCATTGAGAAAATGGGACCAGAGATATTTGCCAAGGAACCTCGATTACCAGGTTCTCCCACCTTACCTCGACATTTCAATGAGCCACCCATCTTCTACCACCGCAAAAGTCTGAGCTACAGCGAGTCTGACCTGAGACGGCTGGGCTCGCAGCTAAACCTTCTCACACAACCTCTGACCTCTATATCTATCTCTGAGGCCCTTCTCCCAGCTTCCCAGGGTTGGGACAGTAGCAGATACTACGTCTCTCACAGCTCAACGGGCTCGCTCTGGCAAGTGAAGAATGAAGAGAGCCAAAAAGATGGAACAATCGTTGTGAAGAAAGTAAAGAAAATAACTATCCAGCGCACTGAGTCGATGGGAAACAGTAAATCTGTCGAGAAGAGCAGCATGTTGGCCAGGTGGAAGGCAGCACAGAGGGAGGAGCTGACGATGAATGGGATGAAGTCTCAGAGTAAAGAGGAGGAGCAGTCCGAGGTTCCCTGCATCACCCTGCAGTCGGAGCTGTCTCTGGAGGCCAGGAGGCTGCTGGTGGCACAAGCACTGGCAGTGGACCTGTTCACTGATGGGGAGGAAGAACATAAGAAAAAAGTGTTGGCCTGGCAGGTAATCCATTTACAAACCATCTTACCCATAATAAATAGCCACACTGACACTGGTGACCTCTTTTCCAGACACGCGACATACATTCTTCAGGACTGATGGGCTAACAGCTAGTCCTCATGTCCTTGATGTCTGGAAAAACATTTTTATTCTAATTTCTGATAATAAATCATCTCTCTGTGCAGGCTGGACATGAAAATAGTCTCCTACACCTATCTCCTGCATTATCTTCTGATAGAAAATAGATGGTGAAACTCTAGGATTTGAAAAGCCTGACAGATCTACATCACACTGTTACTTAGCATTCATGGACTCACCCATCTCGACTCACAACGGGGAAGGTTGATGTTGGTTTAGCCTCAAAGAAACATCAGAGAACGTCTCAGCTGGTAGAAGCTAACTATTAGCATTAGCAACTTCACCACAAAGCTGAACTTCTCCAGGCCTGTGTTATTTATGGAAATAAAATATCCATGTTGCAAGTCAATGGTAGGGTCAGATTGCTGTTATCCAATCAGAGATGAGATGTCCAAATGTCAGGAAATAAGACCTGCTGCCTGAAGCTCAGCTGTGATTTGGGTCACTGCTAGTTCCTGAAAATGGTGCGCCGGTGTTTTTCTTCCCCAGAGTATGGCATTCATTCCTGCTAGAGACCACTGCAAATGTAATGATTAAACAAGTGTTCAACACCTTTAAAACCTATACTCTGCACAAAGTAGTGGTTTGTGTAAGATTATTTTCTATACCTCTATAGCAACGACACATATAGTTGTTTGTGTGTGCGCGCAGGCAGAGCTGAATCTAGGAAGTGCGTGGGAAAGGCTGTGTATGGAGCGGGATCCCTTCATCCTCACTGGAATCATGTGGTCGTGGCTGGAGCAACTTAAAGAGCCCGTCCTCTCCATCCACGATGCCAAAGCCCTGAACTCTGATGGTACCGATGCTAAAACGGTCCTTGACTCACTTAGCCAGGTCAGGGGTCACGTTGTACTCATGTAAATCATTAAAAAAAGGCCAAATATTAAAATGAACCCTCATGGTTTTGTTCTCAGCCTCCTAAACAGACACTAACCTGTATACTCGACTGCATGGCTCACATGCAAACCATATCAGAGGAGATTGAAAACGCATTCCTGAATCGAATCAGCAAGGCTCTCACTTGGGTTAGACAAAGCATAAATCACTGTTTAGTTGGAATTAATTGAACTTTACTGTTTAACTTTTGAACTGTGTTTGCATGTTAACAGATTGACAAAAATTCAGAGGATGGGAGGAAGGTGTACGAGTCCCTTTCCGCTGCTCTGAGGTGTGTGCTCGTGGACATGAGATCTGAGGCCGAGGAGGAGGAAAAACGGCCTGAATCTCCATTTCCTATACAGGAAAAATACGCTTCTGTGCCTTGAATCGGTGTCAGTTTGTTTTGATAAAAGCCATGTTTGCTAGTGTCAGCTTGTTTTTGTATTCATCTGATTTGAACACATACACAAGAACCTGCCTCTGTATTATTCCACCTCCACAGAGCAGAGCAGACCTTCTCCTTAAACCTGGTCACATCCATCCTTTATACCTCAGCCCCAAAAGCATCCAGAACCACATGATTGTACAGGTTTTATTCATCGCATTACAAGGAAGTAAACACACCTTTCCAACTCTGCGGTCCTTCTCATCTGTATTACAGCTTACAAACTTAAAATCTACATATTAGATCCTCCAGCCAGAGGACTGTGTAAACTGTTGAAGGGCTGTGATGCTCAGGATGTGAAAGAATAAGCTTTAAGGACGTCTTTTCCATCGTTTCCCTCCACCGAGGCCACGATGCTCGAGTAGTCACAGGCGACGTGAGTGAACCCTCTACAAATAACAGCAACAGAGACAAAACAACATTCAATAAGGGGATCAGTAGTCCACATCAGGAATGTTCACATGGTGTGGTACCTGGCCATAGTGTGAGAGCCTCCCAGTAAGTGATACCGGCTCTCCAGGGTCAGCCCGCCATCTCTGTGGTTCCTCCATGTCAACACGCGTAAGGACAGGTCCTGAGATGCCGTCACCACACGAAAACTATCCTGCAAACATCAAAATATCAGTAATCTTACTCATCACAGATCTGCTACAACTGATACCAGGTGAGGTTATATTCATCAGGAGATCAAATGACAAACAGCAGACCACAGATATTGATGTGATGGGCCCAGTATGATCCTTAAAACTGGAAAGCAGGACTCCTTTCAGCGAGTACAGCCACAGCTGTTCCCCTGCTGCCAGCACCATGCAGTTACTGCTCTTAGCTGCTAGGTGGAGTCCTGAGGACCAGGCGCTCAGCATCAAGGGGAACGACTCCACCTGCTGGACTGAAACGGACAAGAGGTTCAAATTAAACCAACAAGAATCCACCATTTCTGCAATAGTAAACATGTTGTAATTTATTCAAAAATAAAACATCAGCTTATAAGTTTAGAATAACTGAATCAGACTAGCGGGTATTTAAAATAGCAACGTTTTAAGGAACGTGCCAACTCTGCAACCTGAAACATCAACTCTGTATTAGTAAAATAAAAATGTTTTGCTGTTTAAACTGTTAATGAAGAGAAACACAATCAAAAGAAATGTTAAAGCTGCAGCCAGTGGCTCATCAGGGCCCCCATCATAACCATACACCTGTGTATCTCACTCCTGGCAGTAAACTTAATGAGAGGCATATCCAGGTGAAAAGGCTGTGTTCTCAGTTTGGAATGATATATTAATTTTTCAGAAAGGACAAATTTGAAGTCTATAGAAGAGTGGGTGTGCACACTCAGCACCGAGAGGTTTATTTATTATGTGCAAATCCTGTACTGCTACCAAAGATTATTGCACATTCTTTCTGATTAATTTGCACATTTGCAATATATATTTCTGTGTTGTTGAAAACTGATAAAAATCCTGACAGCATAGCAAAATGAGCGGTAAAAAGGTGCTTTGATGCTAATGGATCAGCACCCACAGATTCCTGCTGAGGAGCTCCGTTTGGGAAGGAATCGGCCCGTGCACTGAGGTCAGATCAAGAGAAAACAGGAGGAGGAATTCTGGCTGTTTTCTCCTACAATGATCTTTTTATTATCACCACTGGCCTGTGATGACTTCAGAAACAACCCATCAGGTACGGTGAAAAATGACCCGTGAGCCATCGGAGTATAATCTAAACAAGGCCCTAGAGCCAAGAAGTTTTCTAAACGGTCTCCGTGGTTACAAGCACATTTCTGATGATTCACCAGTTGACTTCTCTTATTTTTATTAATCCTACTGATCTGGGTACAGAACTAAAGCATTTCCCAGATTATTATACCCATCAAACCTCACCCTGGATCTCGGTCTTGTACTTCATCTTCTTGATGCTGACATCGAAGACAGTGAGGGCATTGTCTCTTCTGTTCCCAGAGTGGTGGATGACGGCCAGTCTGGCAGGCTGGGTGGGTATGAAGACAGCAGCCTGGCATCCAGAGACGGGCACGAGCTGGCTCAGAGGACCTTCGTCTCCAGATGAAGAGGTCAAACTCTCAGAGAAGATCACCTGGCAACAAACAATGGGACAGGAGATCAGTGTTGTCCAGATTGATCATTTAGCTGTTCACACACACACACACACACACACACACACACACACACACACACACACACACACACACACACACACACACACACACACACACACACACACACACACCTACCTTTGGGCTTGAATCAGCACCCAGCGTGGTTCCGGCCATGATCCATTTCTTGTCTGGTGAAACTAGGAGTAAGTTAACTGTAAAGCTGTCACACACCACCACGTTAGACTTTTTACTCAAACTACAACCAGCCAGTGTACACACGGATCCCTGACTAGTTCCAATCTGGAAGACAATAAAACATCATCTCACGTTACTGAAAATAAACTCTTCTAGCAGATATTTGGACCTTTGCTGGGTCACCTACAGTCAGGAACCAGCCGTTGTTCATGTTGTACTGCAGTAATGTACAGTGTGGAGATGCAGTAGAATAGGAGGCCACCTCCTGGCCAGTCTGGCCCTGCCAGGTCTTCACGAGTCCCGTAGAGTCTGATGTAATCACAATTTTGCATTCCTCGTCAGTGAGAATTCCTGTTAAAGGACTCTGCACAGGACTGCACCACAGGAGTCCACCCTGGGGAGGCGGGGAACGTGTTAGCCCCTCTCTACATGCAACCCATTTAAACGTGCAGAAAAAAACATCAGCCATAAGCAGTTTTTAAACACGTTTGCTGTTACCGCTGCACTGACATTTTGGACGTTCCATGCTCGGACTGTCCCATCAGAAGAGGCGCTGCAGACGATGGCGTTGCTGCTCTGGAGGTTTGGAAGTTGGCTGGAATTGCCCTGCAGGTACACCAGACCCACCACCCGGCCTGGTGAACAGGAAGTTCCCCATAAAGATTAGACAGCAGGTATCATGCAGGGAATATACTTCCTGTACAGACAGGTAATGCTTACCTGTGTGCCCCCTGAGGCTTTTACAGGTGTAACCTCCTGACTGCCCTTTTGTCATTTTTATTTCCAGGTGGGAACGTTGCAGGAAGTATCTCTTCCATGACTGCTCACTTCCCAAGGCAGAGAGGTTACAGAAATTCCAGCGGTGCAGGCACATCCTCCTGAGAACTCACAGCCTAATACTGTCATCATTTCATTACCCAACGATTTGAGTCAAAGTCAAAGTGTCTATTAAGGGTGAGAGAAGCCATGTAACATAACCCTAACCCTGTAAATACTACATCCTGGAGGCCATTTGAGGGATTTTATGCAGCTCCAGGTTGCATTTAGAATAATATATTATTTTCTCACCAGGTAATTGATGCAGATTCACACTCAGTAACGATGTAATGTTTAGATTTTTACCCAAATGCCTATTTAGGCTTCTTTTTGCATTACAAAATTCACAAGTTTGTGTCCCATGAAAACTTTCAACTTGACGGTTTTAGGCCCTTGTTTAGAAAAATTTGGAGTCTTTAGAAATTAAAAGAAGAAGCATCAATTAGAGGCAACAGCTACATTTATGCCACATTTAGCTTCACATTATGTTAAGAAAAAAAATTAAATCCAAATAATGACATCAAAACTTGATTGTGACTGATGTTGAGTTATAAAATCATCAAATGCAACTTTAGTAACGGAAGTAACCTACCAAAATAAAAGTAGGGAGAAGAGATCCCTTTTAGAAGATAATTTAAAGACTTTCATGGCAAGATTGTACGAGTGTTTAAACGTTTAAATCTAAATATTGTATATAAAGAGCCACCGGCAGCAAGTGTTATCAACAATAATGCTAAAAAGCGAGGAAAAAGTAAATGATGGTAAATAAATAAGTAAAGATGACAACTCACCACCACAACCAGGGCGTTTCTGCAACTTCATGCCAGTACTGAAATATATACATTTAAACGAGACACTTCCGGTTAGCAAAAAAAATTTTCTTCGACATTTCCGTATATCGGAAGTCTTAACTTACCTTACACACCCCGGAAGCGCTGATTAAATCTGCATCAGACAGATATGTGAAAACTTGAATGAGGCAGTCACCAATTAGCTGAGGAGAATCCATTCTGACATCCGTTTTTATTCGTTTATTCGTTTCAGTTCGGCACCAAGATGATCCAAGTTTGGAAAAACTACGGAATGGGTGTAGGGACAATCTGGTTGTTTACCTTTAATCTGCAGTTTTTTGTGGTTACCACCAGATGTCGCCATGGTAAAAGAAAGTTTAAAGTTTGAGGGAAGAGACGCACAAAAGGCAGCGCTCTAACAGAGCGGGAGGATAAGAAAAAGGATTTTAGACATATACATGTATAAATGAGAGTTAAATAAGTTTTCTGGTAAGTTTTTTAAATACACAAGAAAATATTAATTAAATTCCACAAATACCTCAATAAATTACCTGCCATCTTAATTTATTCGGTCTGTGCTTGAAAATCACATTCTGTGATTAAAGTAATGATTAAAGTTGGCTTTCACTTTGTGTTTTTTGGCAAGTGAGGAAAGATTATTTGCGGCGAAACAAGCGCGTGACACTTTGAGTCATTTAATAGCAGAATTAATAACAGTTCCAATCAGTCAAGGTGAATTCTCCACAGAGGAGTGTTCAAGCCTCTCTCTCTCTCTCTCTCTCTCTCTCTCTCTCTCTCTCTCTCTCTCTCTCTCTCTCTCTCTCTCTCTCTCTCTCTCTCTCTCTCTCTCTCTCTCTCTCTCTCTCTCTCTCTCTCTCTCTCTCTCTCTGTGTGTGTGTGTGTGTGTGTGTGTGTGTGTGTGTGTGTGTGTGTGTGTGTTCAGATTCAGTCCAAGCGGGATTCTTCAGCAGGGCCCCATGTCTCCAGTGAACACGCCCCAGATAGATGAGGCAGATATATAGCCAAGACCTGCGGGTAGCAGAGGAACTGTGAGAAAGAGATAATCGCACTTGCTCACCTCAAGGATTTACCTGTGACACCCTCTGCAATAATGACAGCAGGGCCAAGCCAGAGGGGGCCACGCACGGGGAGCTCGGATGGTGTCCTTTTCGTTGGTTTGTAAAAAGACCCGAGCGTCTTTCTTCGCGTTTTGATGCTTTTCCTCCTTCTGGACTTCCTCTGGAGTTACCTGGGCTGAGATCGACCGGAGCGCACTCACTTATTCATCTGCGCTGCATGAAACTGAAAACCGGGCCGCAATGAGTCGGAGAACACGACGCTGGATTTTACGAGTTTTGCTTTGTTTAGGGATTATTTACCTAAAAATTGGGTGAGCTGTGTTTCAATTTATTTCTCAGTTCTGGGTCATTGCCAGAAAAGAAAAAAAAAGAGAAAAACAAATATTTTTAGAGTCAGGACACATTTTTATGAAAGGGTTCTTCATTCTTTATTCTTAAAGCAAATAAACGAGACACTGGATTTGAAATTCGCGTGCGCAATTTCTGACACATTTTTGCAAATAATGCAAAAACTTTTGCAGATCAGTTAAACGTCCAAATGCACGCATTCACTCTGATAATATTTAAAGATTGACAACATGCACCATCATTTTACAAAGTGATGCATTAACCCTGAAATCTAGGATTACAGAAAGAAATAAAAGCCTAATTGGCTTCTTCTCTCATCCATCTTCCATCCACAGTGGATTTTCGTCGGTGGTGGCCCTAGGTGCGAGTATAATCTGTAACAAGATCCCAGGTTTGGCTCCCAGACAACGGATTATCTGCCAGAGTCGCCCCGATGCCATTATCGTCATCGGAGAGGGAGTCCAAATGGGCATCAACGAGTGTCAGTTCCAGTTCAAAAATGGGCGCTGGAACTGCTCCGCGCTTGGAGAGAGGACCGTCTTCGGAAAAGAGTTGAAAGTGGGTATGTTGCTGTTAACGTTTGTTCATATCTCATTAATAAAACTTCATTCATGAAGAAAGATTTAGCTGCCATCATGCTTAGATTGATGTTTGGACTGTGTTTTACGCACGACCTTTCATTTTTGTGGCTCACGTGATCACAACATCAGGGACATTTTTCAAAAACAGCTTATTTTCACTCCCTAAATCACAAACCCCCCTACAGCCTGCATCTTTACACCTGACTTTCTAACAAGCATCCCTCAAGGAGCCAGTGTCATTTACATCAGGCCCAGCTTAGACCAATCTCCCCTCAGAGTGGGACTTTCTGAACATGTATAAAAGGTATTTTGAAGCCAGTATGGAAACAAAGCTCTTGTGAATGTTGGCAGCCTTTCTTTTCAGTCTCAAGAGGCACATTCTGGCTGGTCTTTATCCTGTGTAGTGATGGGTGCTGTGGCTCTCACTGTAAGGACCCGGAGCTTACCACGGGTATAAGTTACAGCGAAGAACGGCCAAGAGGATAAAGCAACGCTTAAAAACCTAAATTAGAGTCAAGCATCAGTCCAGATTTATGTTCCTGTTAATGAGACGGAAGTTTCATCTAAACGCTGATGTTTTGTGGCCATGTGAGAAGATAAAATGGAAATCACAGTTGCATCAAGATCATTTAGAAACTCGAAGATTGTTAGAAAATGTCCTTAAAGATCATTTTAATGTATTCTGGACTTCCTATTTAAATCATAAACACAAGCACAATGGCAGCTTGGACCAGCTGTTGGAGGCATTATTCTGCTGTTGGAACGAAGGGATTATTTCTTGGTTTTGTTAAAATGAAAACAGTGGTGTTTGACACTCTGGTCCTTCATGATCTAGTTTTTCTTTTTTAACCAATCAGGAGTTTTTATTTCTCTGTAGCTCGGACAGCCATACCAAATAGATTGGTTTCACTGGTCAGATTAGAGCAGAGGTGAATGAAAATCATTGTTGAGACTCAGACTAAAGGGATCTGAGCTGCTGGCTAAAGCAGGGAATAGCAATCACATAATGTGTGTGCAAGGTGCATCGCCAGACCTGAATAATTCTGGGCTTCACTGTTTGAATTTAAACTTTAAAAGTCTGCAATCCCTCTGAGAAGTTTCTTGGTGAAGTGCTGCTGCCAGTTCAGTCAAAGTTATTTTTCTTTTGTCTTCTCCATCTTCCATCTCTCATTTCAAGGCAATGAACAGTTGATACCACCTCTTGTGGTGAACCCGTGCACTCAGAAATGAAGGGAACGAATGAACAAAGTCAGAACTGACTGACTGCTCTGACACACCTTCTTTTCTGGCTCTTGGCCCGTTGAGTCTATAAAAACGTCCACATAATTGATGCCTCAATATGAGTTTTTTTCCCTTTCAATGGCAAAGGAACTGATCCAAGATGTTTATCAGAAACATGGCAGCTTTACATAGAGAACCGTGTGGTTCGAGCAAAGACGTTATGGTGTTTGTTCAGAACAAACACTGACAAGAGGAGTTTATTTACTCAAACATGTGATGGATGACGTAATCGTCAGTATTCTGTTGGCAGAATGTTAAATCATAGATCAGAATATCAAAGTAAAACACTCTTTTTTACTTAGATTTAGTGACCAGTGTCTTTAAAGGTGTGGTTCACTGAAAATCCATGTTTTAAATATTATTTCTGATTATAATCAGTTACTCTGAGATTTTCATGCAGGCTGAACATGAAAATAGTCTCCTACACCTGTCTCCTGCATTATCTTCTGATAGTGAAACTCTAGGATTTGAAAATCCTGACAGATCTGCATCACACCGTCACTTAACATTCATGGACTCACCCATCTTAGCTCACGACGGGGAAGGCTGTTGTTGGTTTAGCATCCAGGAAACAGCAGAGAACGTCTCACCTGGTAGAAGCTAACCGTTAGCATTAGCAACGCCACCACACAGCAGAACTCATCCAGGCTTGTGTTATTTACGGAGATAAAACATCCATGTTGCAAGTAAGTGGTAGAGTTGTGTTGCTGTTATCCAATCAGAGGTGGGATGTCTAAATGTCAGGAAATAAGACTCCAACACCTGCTGCCTGAAGCTCAGCTGTGATGTGGATGCACCATTCATTCCTACTAGAGACCACTGCAGAAGTACTGATCAAACCAGTGAACCACACCTTTAAAGACCAAGTTCACATGATTTTTCTAACACATTTGCAGTGGTTTTGGAATGAATGCCTTGTGAGTTCATCTGTGTGTGTGTGTGTGTGGGGGGGAGCTCTGGCGCTCCTGTTTCAGGAGGTAGAAGTGAGTCAGAGCGTAGCTGATCAGAACACGGCAGGATTTGAAGTCTTATATCCTGATATTTGGACATCTCTTCTCTGATTGGCTCACAGCAACTTGACTCTACCACTGACTTTGTTGGCTCTGCAACACTGATGATTTATCTCCACAAATAATACAAACCTGGAGGAGTTCTGCGTGTGGTGGAGTTGCTAAATAACAGTTAGCTCATTGTAGCCAAGACATTCCATGCTATTTCCTGGACGCTAAACCAACAACAGCCTTCCCCGTCATGAGCCAAGATAGGTGAGTCCATGAATGAAAAGTGACAGTGTGACAGAGATCTGCGTGTTTTTTAATAATCCAAGAGTTTCACGTCTATTTTTCTATTGGTGGCCAATCCAGTCAATAGAGATAGAAGACTGTTTTCACGTTAAACCTGCATGTTAAACTCAAAGTGATCTAAAATAAAACAATTAGAAACGGTTTCTCTGTGAACTTGGTCCTTGAAACATTGTATTAGGAGAGAATTCATTTCTTTGGCTACAGGTGAGGGTTCTGTGGTTCTTTCTGACCATATTTAACTTTCTCTTAGCTCATAGTTGCTACGCTGAGACTTTTCCTTTGCTGAATCCGTCCACATCCTGTCAGATTAATCTTTACTTATTGGTCGATATTGCAGTGTGTGTAAATGATTTGTCCACTGGACTTGGGGGCAGATAACAGCAGAATGAAGATGTCACTGCCTTATGAGTGTGCACACGATGTAATAGCTTCCAAGTGGATCAATAAGCCATTGCTTGCCGACAACACCCTTATTCATGCGGCTTTGTTGACCATACCGCCAGCAGACATTTTGGTTCATGGGCAGGACAGTTTCCGGGTCAGATTTCAAAACACTGCAGCCCTTCACTGATAGTTCAGTAAAACTGTGATGTAAGCATGTTAATAATTGATCCCTTTTAAATCTCTCTTACACCCAATTCTCCTCCCCAGGGAAACACATTTATCTTTGTTTTTTTTTTTTGTTTTTTTTTCAAAATCCGAGCGTACACCTTGCATGTGTTATTTAGCACTTTCTTTTCCTCTCCCTTAGGCAGCAAAGAGGCTGCTTTCACCTACGCCATCATTGCAGCGGGGGTGGCCCACGCCATCACGGCCTCCTGTACGCAAGGTAACCTGAGTGACTGTAGCTGTGACAAGGAGAAGCAGGGTTTCTACAGTAAAGACCAGGGATGGAAGTGGGGAGGCTGCTCAGCGGACATCAGCTACGGCCTGGAATTCTCCAAGGTTTTTATCGACGCCCGGGAGGTCAAGCAGAACGCACGGACTCTCATGAACCTTCATAACAACGAGGTTGGACGAAAGGTAAGTCCCTAGCAAGTGGATCTATTATGCTAGAATTTAAAGACATTTTAAAGAGGTCACAGGTAAACGTGAAGGTGGAGTGATGGTTGAGCAGTGTGAGACCTGTCCGAGTTAACAGTCTCTACCACGCTTCGGTGTGGGTGCCAAAGATCTGAGCAGCCAGGCCAAGCTTAAACATGGAGCAGAATAAAGAGCTTCTTTTAGGGGAAGAGTTGTCTAAGCGGCAGGGTTTGATTACAGCCCCGATCCCTGCACTGAAAACAGATTGACACTGTACAAAAAGGCATTAGCCCAGTCCCCCCCATGTTGTGCACCAGTAGGACGGTCTACAGTTACCATTACGACAATCTGCAACCATAGTTTCAGCAATCAGGTGCAGTTAGCTCCAGCACACACCTCAGGGGGCTCAAACTGGTTTCCTAAACCTGTTTTAAGTTTAAATACATTATTTTGATTTTTATTATTGTTCACTGTCAAAAGGCAAGAGGCCATTAACCATTTACCATGGAACGATCTCAATAAAACTGTCAGCAAGCCATCAGCGGGTGCACATCTACAACTGATTAACTTTTGGTATCAACTCGATTCAAGATGTCTGCCAAAACGATAACTTCAGCAAATACAAAAACGACCTGGTTTGACCTGGTCGGTTTTACAGGTATTGGTGCAGTATCTTCAATAAATCACACAGGGCTTCATTTTTCCTAAAGAGATGTAACGCCAGCATTTCCCAACATCTGAGTTTGAAGCTCCGACATGAGGGGCAGCAGGTTGTGTCAGATCTTTATTTCACCATTAAACTGTTTGTTTAAACTAACAAAAACTTCACAACCAAACATTACAAAAGTAGTTCGGTCTGAAGCACAACACTAATGTGATAAACACATAGGAGGAAAAGTCGCTGCCTTGTTTTCCTTTATGTGAGTTTGCAGAAAACGGTGACAAAGAGACTCCAGTGGGTCTAGAAGTTAGAGCTTGAGTAGAATAAAAGCCAAAGTAGAGCTTAGAGAAGGAAGGTGCAGCACTGCCCAAGTTAGCTGGCATCCTCTCTCTCTGTCCGACTCGACCAAAAAGCCTGATTCACAAAACTAACACGTCCGTCGCAGGCTGAAAAGTCTCTTTACACATTTGCACAAAAGTTTTTTTTTCTCACTATGTGTGTTTTAGAAACATGAATTCAAATTGGCTTATCTGGACCAAAAAACCACCTCCCAGGGAGAGGATTCTGCTTGTGGATTCAAATGTTGAGCGGCTTCGCCTATTTCCCCTTTTCTTTCCGCTAATAAATAGACCCTCTGTTTTGATAGGCTTCCCCTCCTTTACTTATGGTAATCAAAAGCGGTGACACTGAGCCGGAGCGCCGTTCACAGCTCCCCAATGGTAGACGTGCAGACAATGGCTGTCACAAGTGTTAGTTACAGGACATCTGATGGATTAGGGGGCTGAAGCCAGGGTTTTTATGAAGTGGTGTACCAAGGGAAAAGTTCCCTTTTTTTGTCCTTGTTCACATGCTTGCTTTTGCAGTTTGCTGTTACAGATTTCTTGCCAAGAACAGGCATAAATTTCTTGCAAATGGCTTTAGGAGACCATATTGCATACCAAACACCTAGCATGTTAGAAAAAAAGGAAATTGCAATTGACCTTGCTGCTAAGGAAAACTCCTGTGGCACTTCTCATTGTCATCAGCTTGGGGTTTAGCGGTAATCCTAGTCACTCGGCGCCTTGTACAGTCACTCATGGCTTTTGCGGGTTGTGTGTGGTAACTGCATACACAGAATGTGAAATCTGATACATTATTTTGGCTTCTGTGTATACGGTATCAAACTGCTGTGTGTTGGGGCTGCGTTAATCTCCCGGCCATAGTGGATTTGTAAGTCACACTGTTTGATAGGGTTTCGTGTTGCCAGTTACAGTGTGGATTTGTTCAAGGGTTTTATGACTTGCTTAAATTTCATTGCTGCAAAGGTTCTGATTGCATTTGAGGTATAGCTGTTGAGGCATGCAGTACTATGCAAAAACTGGTAACCACCCCTGGTTTCTTTAGATTTTGTTTACAGTGAGGCAGACTTTCTTGTAATCCTTTCAGGTGGTTTGGATTTGTAGGTTATTTTTTTTAGTTTTTCTTAAGTTTCAAATAGTTTTTCTCAAGACTTTTTTTTCACTCATTTCTGTCCTTGTACTTGACCTCTGGAGCAGTTTATTAGCTTGTTCTTAAAAATGTGGATGGTGAATAAATGGATGCTAAAGAATAAAAATTAGGAATAAAATCCTTATCTGCAGCAGATGGACAAAAATTTAAAGTCAACGTCTTTAAGTGGTAAAGAATCTTTGAAGGTGCGGTTTACCTGGAGCTGTGACGGTGACACAGGAGTTAAGTGCTTGCACCGTAATTGGAAGGTTGCAGGTTTGAGTCCCGCTCAGTTTGTCACTGTCATTGTGTCCTTGGGCAAGGCACTTAACCCCCTTGCCTGCTGGTGGTGGTGGGAGGGACCAGTGACGCCGGTGCTCGGCAGCCTCGCCTCTGTCAGTGCGCCCCAGGGCAGCGTGTGAATGGGTGTGTGAATGATTGTGTTGTAAAGCGCCTTGGGGGTTCCTGGACTCTAGAAGGTGCTATATCAAAAACAGACCATTTAAATATAAAAACAACCCACAGACCTGAAACAGGACCTGAGGGATGCTCTCATGCTCCTATGTATGTTCCGTTTGGGGTTGAGAGACTTTTACACTGTAAGAAATAAAATGTTGAATTTACTTAAAGTAATGTAACTGGTTTCGCTAAACTTAGCTGCTTAAATGTAAGAGTAATAAACATGTTCTTTAACATAACAATATATAACGATGTTATTCTTTACATTTAAGCAACTAGGTTTAGTGGAACCGGTTGACGTAACTTACTGGAATTGGAATGTTTACTCTGACGACTCTTGTTGTGATTTGGCGCTATATAAATAAACAGATTTTAAAGCAGTTTATTTGGTTTTCTTTTACAGTTTGGGTTTGGATCAGCTCAGCATTGGTGAATGTTCTTATTAAGACACTTTGTCCATCAACTGATGTTAATGTTGGTGTTCCTGTGTCCTAATCATGTCTCTGACTATGGCCATGTGTTGAAACCGGCTCATCCTTTGAGTTAGAATTCCATAAAAGAATGTATTTTGTTTTCAATTTTTATGCAACAGTTTTGACTATGATGATTTTATGTTGATAAATGATGGAGTGACAGCTGTTTTGGTCAAATCTTGTATGCACGCTTTTGCACGGTCACATGTGAAATGTCATGGTCTCATCTATCAGTACTTGAAGAATGTGCTGCAAGTGACTCCCAGCTACAGCCACACGAAGATGGAGCTGAAAATCTACGAAAATGACAATTACAGAACATTTAATGTTTGGGTCCTACAGTTAACCAACTGGATCGGACATCCAGAGATTACTTTCTGAATGTTTAATTCAACTCAGACCAGTGGTTGGTGAGAATAAATCAGAGTTGGTTAAAAGCAAAATGTTTCTGTGGAGTTTTTGCAGCTACCTATTTAACTAATCAATTTGTTTTTGTTCAGGTTCTGGAGAAGAACATGCGACTGGAATGCAAGTGTCATGGTGTCTCAGGCTCCTGCACAACCAAAACCTGCTGGACTACACTTCCTAAATTCCGCGAACTCGGCTACATTCTCAAGGAGAAATATGGCCACGCCGTGCACGTGGAACCAGTCAAAGCTAGCCGCAACAAACGCCCCAAATTCCTCAAAATCAAGAAGCCTCACTCGTACAGAAAGCCCCACGACACAGACCTTGTGTACATAGAAAAGTCTCCCAACTACTGCGAGGCGGACCTCGTTACCGGGAGCCTGGGGACACAAGGACGGGTGTGCAACAAGACAATGATGCAGCACATCAGCGGCTGTGACTTGATGTGCTGCGGCCGGGGATACAACACACACCAGTACTCCCGCGTCTGGCAGTGCAACTGCAAGTTCCTGTGGTGCTGCTACGTGAAATGCAACACATGCAGCGAGAGGACAGAGGTATACACATGCAAATGAGAATATTTATTGGATAGTATGTGTGAAGATTTTTTTTTGAGTGTCGATGCTTTTGTATGTTTTTATGGGAACCTAAAAACAAAAGAAGGCTGTGTTTGCAGTCTCTACCTAAGTAATATTGTGTATGGATAAAGCTGAAGCCGAGGTGTTACGGCTGTTTTGCACACAAACCTCTTCGCCCCTCCTCATGGACCGATAGTAGGAAATGCATTGTCGAAACAGAGTAAATAACACTGGAAATGGACAAGCCGCGCAATGGCAGACCACGTCTTGAGTCACTGAAGCAGAAATTCTCCAGACGTTTTAAGCTACATGGACACGTATGGACATTCTTCACTTTGGACTTTGCCAATGCAAATGGACTGATGGCGGCTGTGACGCTTGGCAGGAAGCGCTGCTGTAGTTTCCACCTCCTGTGCGCAGGTGAACTTACATAGCCATTGGAAATATTTAACATGCTGTAACTAGTGAATGAGAATTATTAATATTAATTTATTCTGTAAAGAACTACTGATTTAGTTCGTCATGCATTTTAAATGTCAGGAGTTTTTAGTTGGTCTACATTTAACACACTGGATTCCAGTCACAGATTGTATCAACTTGTAGAGTAATGTTCAGAGTAAACTGCTGTAGGCTACGCAGTTTGACCCTTTTTGTCTTCTACTTCGTTTTCTTCCCTTTTTTGCTGCTAGTCTAGAAAATTCTTCTTGTCGAGGTAGAAGTGTGTTTCCCTGGAATTATACACTGGATCAAAAATACAGTTTTCCTTAGAAAAGTGTCTTAATAGAGTATATATTTGTAAAGGCCTATTTTTATATGAATGTTTTTATTTATATCTTATTTGTTATGGTTGGCGTCGTTTGTAGACCCTGACCTGAGTTTATAAACCCCTGTGGGAAACAAAAGCAAAAATCTGATATATGCAGGTTGGCCCAAGCCGCCACCGCCATTGCTGTGTATTGTACAGGATAGAGGCTGTTTATATGTGTCGATGTGTTCAGACGTCTGTCTTTACTGCATTTCATGACTACTACTAATTGAATACAGGAACAGAATAGCACCAGCAGGACATTTTCATTCATGCCTCTTTCATGCCTCTCACCTATTCTCTGGTCTATGGGGGGTTCTATTATATTAGATCACATTCAACTTCAAGTAATATTGTTAAAATTAATTATCTTGAATCAAAATTGAAAATACAAATTTAAATATAAATGTGGCGGTTTTTAAATTAAATGATTAGCAGATTCAGACTGCTGTACAATGAAAGTAGCACACCAAAATAAAAGCGGGGTTAAGAGATCCCTTATCTAGCATCCCAGAGTACTTGTGATGGTAAGATAGTTTGAGTTTGTTTAACCATGGACTATTAATCAATGTGTTGGAGAGCCCAGACAGGGAAATGAAGAAAGGATCCATGTTTAAACAAACACACAATCTGAGATGTTAGAGATCTCTTCACCCTGGTTTGGTTATGGTAGGTTTTCATTTAACAGCACCCAGAAAAAGCAAAATATTTATGTTTTAATTTGAATATTTACCTCTATACATTTAGATTCAATATATTTTTAATTTTAACATAATTCTGTGGATTTATTTAATATAAAATGTTTCAACTATTTCACAAACTAAAATGAGATAAAAAAAGTCAGAAAATGTTTTTTTTTTAATTTATTACGTATGAAACATATTTAAAGTTGCCATTTTGGGGTTTGCACCCCTTTTTGGTACTTTGATGCATCATGACATAAAGATAAATGTAACCCACCATGATGTGGTCACCATGGTGATAAATCAGCTTTCAGAGGGCGCGCACAATATGCTCGAAGCTGGACCCAAAGAGAGACGTTCTTTGAGAGGGGAAAGTTATTCAGGCTTAATTGAGGGTCCATCCTGCAGACTGAGAAGCGGCTGAATGTGAGCGAGGAGAAGGGTGTTTGTGCTGTAATAGAAGGGTACCGCTGTAATTGATGAGGCCGCTCAGGCAGACGTGTCACCGTGATGACTTGCTCAGTCGGGGGAGTGGGAGCTGTCAGGTGATAGATGACTCGCACATCTGCTTCATTCACTCCTGGGCCACTAGTTGCTACAACAACTCCTGTGCAGCAGAGAAAATGCGGGGCGGTCTCCAAGAGAGGCCGGTTGACTCGTTGGGGAAATGTTAACGATGCTGAAGCCTGGAGTTGTTACAGATTCCACTCTCGTCGAAGTGGTGCGAGGAGGCGAGCCCAGAAGGTGCTGCTCCCAGTAATCTCCTGAGACTGACAAACACGGCCTGTAAAGTTTTCACCTGGGCTGGATTTTGGAACTTTTTCTGTTTGTTCCCAGTAACACACACCCTCTTTTCTGAAACAGCAGAGAAACAGAGCAGAGAATTCAGGTTTAACTTACAGTAGATAAGCCGTATTGTATGTCGGTGGCAGTATAATTGACCCCTAACAAAGGGAGAAGGGCGTGAAGGGATAATAACAGCGGCTTGTCTCCGACAAAAGCTTCAAGCTTTCATAATATTGATACAAAGGCCCTGAATAAGAAAAGGCGGCTGCTCAAAGGCTCTGGTTAAAACCAAACTAGGGGTTTGTGTGAGGGACTTGCATTATCTCATGCACAACACACTCATCACCACTATCCTCCTTTGTGTGTCTCCTATTAACTTTCACCTGCAGCCTTCTAACACTTGAAAGACGGTGGCAGAGTCCCAGCTTTGTGGGAGTGATTCAAAAGTGGCGCTCTAAAATTACAAACTGCCCTGGGGTTCTGTTAATTTGGATTAGCAGAGAAGATTTGCACCATTAAACCTGTGATTTACAGCATGACATGTCTCTTTTCTTTTTTTTAACAAACGGGGTAGTTTCGCTGCTGTTTGAGATAATTCACCTGCAGTTATTTTCAGCCAGGTGCAAAAGCACCATCACACAGGAGTCCACAGTCAGATCATCCTGGTTGAGTCACGACCACTAAATGCCACCTTCTTTGGTAGTTCAGCCCCTTGTCAGACACCCTGCAGGATCACTGAGATGCTGATTATACTCTTAGCAGTGTTTCTCCGTAAACAGGACCGGGCCCATGCCAACATGTTCAGGGGTGTAATATCCTTGTCGCTCTGAAGTGGGGTTGCGTTACCCTTTGGAGTTGTATTTATAAAGACAAACACACACAAACATTCGTTCCATCACCTGCGGTTGCTGGAAATTGGTGGTGGCTGCAGATTTATGGTTGGAAGTCTGGCTCGCTCCCTTTGTTATTGCTGGAGGTCTGCCACAGCTTCCCTACCTGCTCCCGTGACCCGCGCCATCAGGGCCGCCCAGCTCAGAGCTCCAGCCAGCAATTAGAGTCAAAGCCGACGAGTCTTAAAAACATATTTAAGCAAGACCCATCCTGCTTGGTGCTTCATCACCAAATTGACCTTCAGAGCACAGGAGGTCAGATTTATCACCGGTGTCCACATTTGGTAAAATGTCTGGACTTTTGTGTTTTCTAGGTGCAGTTTTTTTCCTACATATGCAGATTAGATGATGGATATATCTACCCAAATACCAACACTTACCAAGGAGATGACTCATAGTTTCCCTCTAAAAGAATCATCCATCATACAAAACCTTCATTATCACACAGCTTATAACGTGCATGCTCTTGAGAACGGCACCACTGGTTTCCGATGTTTCCCTCAAACAAGTGGACAGCATTAAAGACAATAATTGGAAAGGAGGAGGAGCGTGGACCTGCTCTCCAGTTTTCCTCTCCTTTGCTCCATCGGACCATAAATCTTCTGACACATGATTATGTCAGTCATACTTTTGTTTTTGCTCTGGTTGAGACTTGCACAACCACCTGAGCGCTGCACCACTAAATTGCAGAGCACAAGGTTGTCTTTATGTGATTCCAGATATACTGTAAAGGTGCAGAGCTCCTTCATGCACTCTCTAAAACCACACGCAGCGATGGGAGCTGGAGATAGCTGACAATATCCACTCCTCGCAAGAGAGATCCACAGCTGCTTGGCCCTCATGGGGCCTAACTTCCCATGGTCTATCAGATTTTACAGGTAAGCTGCTGCAGGGTTCATCCGTGCCAGTCAGGTAAAGGACGAGCTTCCTGGTGGGATTTTTTGGGAGACATTTATTTAGATCTGAATGAACATACCAGCCCGCTTTACCTGCCTTTGAAGGATTTGGAAACATTCAAACACGGAGCAGAGATGCATCCCAGAAATGCTCTGAGTGAGCTTGTTAAAAGCCGCCTTTGATGGTATGCAGCCGAGGATCTTCAAATGATCTGAGCACTCCAGGTGATACTTAGTTTTTGCGATTATGAGTAGTTTGGAACCAGAGTATGGAGGGCCCTCATAACCCCCCCATAAAAAACGTCACCTGAGCTAAGCTTACAGTAATCCTCCGACGTCTCAGGCGTCTTGACACGGGATGTTTTCAACAAAAACACCAAACTCACTACAACCCCGTAAGACTCACAGACGCTTTGGAAACATCACAGATCACCATCCCCCGTCATGCGCCAGTCAGCCGGTCCACCAGGTCCCTCAAGGAAGTTCAGACCAGCCCTAAGCATGTAAACGTTATGAAGAGTTGCTATCAAACCTGTTGTTCATAGCTCCATGAACAGGCTCAGTTCAGAGAAATAGAGTTTACGTCTCACAGGGCTGGCGAGCTAACAGCTAGCATGACTTTGTTTTCCAAAATGTCATTAAAGTTCTTCTGATGTTGTTTTCTGAACCTTTACGCTCCTAGTTTGAAACAACTGGGTTATTTAAGGGTCATGTCATGTCAAAAACACCACCATCAGCAACATGTAGCATTTCTGCTACATTCAGGCACCAGATGGCCAACATTTTGCTGCTGGTGATAGTGTTTAGACTTGGCAATGACCATGTCAAAGTTTATAAAATAAAGTTTAGGATTTACTGGTGTGTCATTGTTCCATTCTCACTCACAGCTCCAAGACTTGGATCAAGACCACAACAACGATCCCAGAGACTAAAATTAGCTCTATCTGGACTTCTTTGCTTGACTTTTCACCCTGCTGATGTAAAATGGATGGATGACTCGATTCTGTCATTTTTGGAGGTTGGAGCTCGATTCACAACTCACTTTCGGTCTGGGCTGCAATCAGGCCAGGTCTATGTTGTGGGCTATACTTAGTTTTGTCCGAGGAGCGGCTCTTGTGGCACTCCATAATTAAAACCACACAGTTCTGATTTACATGAACAAACAGTAACCTTGAATCTCAGGTTCACTCAGGAATCCATCTTCAAAGGTGGAAATACTAAGGTCTTTGCTAAATAATTTTTACAACGAAACACATTTCAGAGTAGCTGAAATATCCCTTTAACCTGACAGCTTTCACCCAAAACTCCCTCGCATGTCTTCTCTTTTCTTCATCTGCTTCTCATGGGTTTGAACGTACAGCGGGTGCTGTACGACCCATTAGCTCTGATGGAAGAACAGTTTCACACTCACCTCACCAAGACTGTATAGAAAACAGAAACAGGACTGGCGTGAAACCTGAATACCAGCCAAGGAGGTTATTTGCACATCAGGCGGTAATTAATCCATCAGTGTGTCTCTGTGCTTTACGTCTTTGACAGTCAGCCGGGTAAAAGTGCACAAACAAGTTGGTGGGAAGTAAACATGCGGCGTGAGCTGATGGTGTCATAGTGCCGTAGCTCTGAGGTTGAGTTCAGAGGGAGTTGCAGGAGCATCTTGCCTGGACATGTTCCTAAATGTATCGTTGCAGAAAGCCATGAAACAATTTGAACTGATGCTGCCAGTTTAAATAACTTAACAGTGTGGTCAGAGCTATTATATCAATAATCTTTTCCCTCTCTCCACTCATGCTTTGCCAAGATATGGAAACACCCTCACCTTCAACCAAAACGAGGTAAGGAGATACCTGAAAGTACTTCTTTTGATATGAATCCCACAATGCAGGTGACAAAAGCGTGTTTTGAAGTCAGCTGCACAGACTTTTCCCTCCATGTTATCTTCACTTCGTTCCCTGCAGCTGGATTGAATACCAGAAGGGACTTTGCTATGACAACAGGCAGTCAACTGGCTCTGCACGTCGAACAATTTGTGTCGTGAATCCGACCTTTTGATGTGTCTGTATGCACACTGATGTCATCGACTCTCGTATGGGAGTTTCATGTCTTAGGCTCCCTGTAAATAACAGCGAGTGTTGGCTGTAAACAAGCCTTCTGTCTGATGGGTGATATCTCAGGTCATTTTGCTCATTCATCCAGAATATTTTCCATTTGTCAACTTTTCCCCCCACAATGCATCACTTTTAAGGTCTAAAAAAAAAGCACTTGTGGGTAGAGTGCTCGGAGTGACCTCGGAGCAGAGCAGGTCTCTCGCTGACAGTGGTGGATGAGGCTGTGACAGTTGTAGATGATCCTCCAGTTCAGCTCAGGGTCACAGGCTTGTCTACGGGGCAGCAGAACACAGCTGGATTCCTCGCATGGAGGTCATCCTCAGTGATGGTAATGAGATAAAGAAAAGGACAAAAGGAAGACGGGATAAAGAGGGCAGGGAACAGGAGTTCACTTTCACCCATCTTTGTCAATCTTAGAAAGGCTTTCTACCTACAGTGTGTTGATTTAAGGTTATTGTAATGTTATATTGCAGGTTTTGTCTTTACTTAACAAAGCTTTGGCCTGTCTTTTTTTTGAAGGGGTTCAGCCATTCATTAGTGAGAGTCTACTCCTGGACTAGTGAAATCCAGAATGAAAGCCTGATGGACAGGGACTCTAAATACTGTGCTAGACAAAAGCAAACACCCTAGAGGCTTTCGCCCAGGAAGTATTTAGACTCTTTCCTTTTTAGGAATAAAAACTGAAGAATCTGTCATGCGCTGACAGTGATATGATTCGGACACGTAGAAGAAAACTACTTTGTGAAGGTGGAGAATAATCTCCTGCTGCTCCCACAAAGAGAAGAGTTAAAATGTGATCCGGACCATGATCTGATGTCACCTGTGACTCCCGAGGAGGGAACAAAAGCGGCAGTAGCGAGTATTGTCAGCTGGTACAGATACCACAGCGATCACTTTAATCATAAATCACAGGCTTTTCTAAGGGATGGGTGTCTGGTGACAGGATGAGGAGGCCGAACAAAGCGGAGTCGGCTGTGACAGAAACTCAGAAAGGGGAAGTGGTTTTGCTCCGAGCTTCAGCGGGAACGTTAGAATCCAAGAGGGATTTGATGGAAAGATTCAGTGCAAAAGTCATTAAAAACAGGTGTACACCAATTTTAATGTTTGAGGCTATATTTTTTTTGCTTAGTGTCTGAAAAAAGTTTACTTCCAAAAAAAAAACAGACTTTCTTTTAGTTTTATAGTGTCTTTTAAGGCTTTTAAAAGTAACATCAACGTTTGTCTTTGGACTTTCTTTTACATGTGTTCTGTGCAGTTCATGAACCTGACTGCTGTTGTACGGATTATTGTAAACAAAGCAAGAAATAGAACGAAAGTCTAACACTAAAGAATAAATCCACATATAGCAGATAAACAGTCTGTGTGTGTGTGTGTATCCATCAAAATTTAGTTGAAAATGAATTAAATGATGTCCAGTTGTTGAAAAATATTGGTGGCTTTGTAACACATAACCATTAAAACTGGTTCTGAAATACATGGGGGTGGGTCGGCCCAGTCCTAATACTCACACTTCCACCCTTGCGTCCTTCAGTTGCGCGCTCCAGTCCAGGGGTGCGAGTGCGTAGGTCGTGCAGATCCTCAAGTACGGAAGTTCACCACGCCCCTTTTGCACCCTTGATTTGCATTTTGCCCAAGTCTGCATCGA